GATTGGATCAAATCCAAAAAATATGACTTCCTCATCAAATTCGAATTTAAATCCATGTTTATCAGATCCAGATCTGATTGGATCTACAATTAATAGTGCCATATTGGATTCAGGTATAACCTGATTCGAATCCGATCTATTTGCATCCATACCTAAATATGTTCTTAAAATATTAAGTGATCGACTATAGCCCCAAAAAGTCAAAAGACCTTCCAGGAATCTCATTTTGTGTAAGGTCGTTGATGCTCGGGTTGGCCTAGGACAACACTGCCAATTTACTCCTAAGCCCGAGTAGGACCAAGGTACCCAAGGTCTGAAGCGTAAGATGGCCGAGGACTAAGGACCGAGGTGGTGAAGATCCGAGGTCCGAGGTCCTCGGTGTCTTGCATCTGAGGTAGCCGGGGACCAAGGGGTCGATTCTGCAAGAAGAAAGGTGTTAGAGGCCTCGGGTGAAGACCCGAGGTGAGGACTCCGATAGCCAAGTTAGTACCGAGTTATGGAGTGGACGAGGTTTGAGGTGCGAGCACCCAAACGAGGTCACTAGAGAGTAATAGATCTCAAAGGCTAGTGGGGGATTGAGTCCGTACACGGGGTGCGTGGCGGTCCTAGGCCGCCAAGTGAACCCGCGCCATTGGTTCCTATATTTCCTCCAAGCTGGGCAACACATGTTCACTGATTGGCTCCGCTCTAACGTGCGTTGCCTGACACGTGTAGGTCGCTGAAAGGTCAAGGCCATCTGCGCCTACATCATTTGCCCCCCACTTTCGAGGCTGTGGTGGGGGTCCGAGGTGAGAGGACCTCGGCATCAGCCGAAGGGAGTGCATCGGTTTGTATTGGAAGGTGTTGGTGGGCCTTTTGTGTGTGTGGTGGCATCGGTTTGCCTTCGTTCTTCGCGGGTGACGGCCGAGACTCCTACTGGCCCCAACTCGGCTGTTCCTACAGGGGGCCTCGGCTTCATCTCCGAGGCTGCCATTGTGCGTGGACGAGAGGGAGACTTTCCCACCAGCCTTGTGTGAATGTTGGGTATGTCCTTTGATGGCTCGTTGGTTCGATGGAGACTCTGTAAGGGCCTTGGCCTCGGTTAAGAGTGCCGAGGGGGAAACGCAAGGGTGCCCGAGCTGGTAATAACATAGCCATTTTGTGAGGGAATCTCATTCAACGATGTTGTTGGCCATAAGGGAAGTGGATCCCAATGTTGGGTTTGGGTCACGGGTCCCCGAATTGGTGAGTTGGGGCCATATCCGCGACGGGTTGCGGAGTCGCTGCCGCGGGATTATAATATAACCGGATTCGGGCTTTAATCAGATTAGGTGGGGCCAAATCCAAATCTAATCTGATTATTTAATCAGATGTAGATTGTAACATCAAAATCCAATCCGATTGGATAAATACATCATCCAAATTCGAGTCAATCAGATTGGATGTCGAATCAAATATCAAATTTGTATTATTATTGATAGGCCTAGTTGTAGGTGAAATGCATGGAATCAAACCTACAAGGTGTGGACTAAAATGCACCACACCTTGCAAAATGCTTATGCAGGTGTGGTATGGTTCAATACACACTTCTTTGTTCACAGTTCAGAACAACTATTGTATTGGGGTGTGCTGCAAGGTTAAAAAAATCGTTATGTATCGGCCTGTATTGATCGATACGTATCGTATTGGGAGCACCCCAATATGCCATTATAGAGGGTGTATCGGAGTTTTGACCGGTTCATGGGGTGGAGGAACCTTAAACCGGCCCCCCAAACCGGATTTGAAAAGAAAGTTAAAGAAAAAAAGAAACAATACCAAAAATATGATACAGCCAAATACGCCCCTACCAGAGTATCGGGCATATTGATATTTAGAACCTTGGTGTGGTGTGCTCTCATCCACACTATAGATATGGTGTGGATGAGAACACACCACCCAATTTCTCATATATGTTATAGAACACCCCCCAAGTCAACGGTTTTTGTCCCAAGAACGGTTTTAGGGTGAAATAGAACCGGTGCTTAGAAGGTCTCAGTGTCAACCGGTCTGGTCTGGTTTTCAAAACCTTGCTTTGAGCCATGAATCTCCCCCTTTTCTGGTTCTATGCTTGATTTGGTTCTCTGAACATTGCTAAATACTAAAAACATACCTTTATAAAATGCTTATTTCAATATGTGACTTTTTAATACCCAAAATGGCCAAAGCACAACCTTTAAATGCTAAGTCACAAGGAAAACCTTTTCTTCCTCTTCATGGGATATCTACCGCCTAGCAAGAAAAAGCTAAATTGGGAAGTGATCATCAGATCATGAGATCCAGACTATGTCAGCACATTTCACCATAACACTGGGACCGACCATGTATGAGAATCAGTTCTAGTATGGATTAACAGTAAACAACAAGCTTACAATCTATGAAAAGTGAATTTTCATGAAAGCGGTAAGATCTGGATCAGTTCTAGTATGGATTGCAGTATGGAATCTGAAAAGGAAAATGCATATTATAGCATCATTGACCAGCCAGAATTTTAAAATTTGGACGTATCCAAGGGAAAATCTATGATGCGGAAAAGATCTGGTATGGAAAGAGTTTTGACCAATCAAAACCCACCCATGAATTTTGATAAATAACACTTTATTCATTACCACATTTATGATTCCATTTTGTTAGTTAGTTGTTTTTCAGATATCATATCTTTTCCATATCATAGTCAAACCCATGTTTGTTTTGCCCAACCATCTAAACAGTATTTTTGCTTTCCCTTTTTTTCCCTTGTTCCTTCTCCCTATGATCAAAACCCTAACCAGTCCTATACTCCAATTCACCCATTAATTTGTCATATTAAACCAAACAAAGAAAATAAAGTTTAAATTTGAATCAACCCCAGCCCAGTAGGAAATCAAGGCTCTCACTAGAAGACAGCTTCAATGGTTGCCCTCATCTGATCATCTCTTCTAAAATTACCCAAAACACCTTAATTGGCATACGTAGATCAGGCTAATAAGGCACTCAATACAATTTCAAATTTTTCCCAGAAAGAATGTTGAAAATCAGATTCTCTCTCTAATTGAAGTCATAACCTCTATAGACTAAATCGACTTCAATGCTCATAAGACCATGCTCACACCATTCACACAGTCCCTTGCAGCCTTGCATTGGAAATATCTCCTAATGAAAAATACAAGTACAGAGATACTCACAATGCAAGGCTGCAAGGGATTGTGTGTATGGTGTGAGCACTGAAGCCAATCTCCCACAGACTTCGCAACATGACTCTTACAGCCCACCTCAGTTTTGGACACTTTAACATTCCAATGCGACAATATTCTAGGCTCTTCACGTTCTATATGGTTTGAAGACCCTGGGGTGGATTTTCCGAGGTTGTGGCACGGTAGGGCTGTCAATTGGACTGGATTTGGTCCAATCCGATGTTGGTCCATTCACAAATGGATTGGACCCAATCCGGTCCAAACCCATACAAACCAAGTCCAATTTAGGGCTGTCAATGGGTCGAGTTCAGTGGAATCGGAATCAACCCAACAAGAAATACAAAGGGCTCGGGACCGACCCGGACCAAATAGGGTCTGTAATTTTTAGACTCCGAACCGAACTGATAGGCACTTAGGACAATCGGGTCTGCATGTTCGGGAGGCTTATGTTTCGTGTGTTCTGAACTACACCTCACACCTCTAGGTAATAGAATGCCTCGCATCATGCCTCTGTTTTTTTTTTCTTTTTGATATCTTTTGATGGGCTACAAAATGAGGGGTAGCCCATCCCCCAACCCATAACCCCTCCCCCTCAAACCCAGGTGCAGGCGAGATTCGATCCAAGTCTCAGCTACAACCAGCAGGAGACCTTACCAACCAGCTGGTTGGCACCTTGCATCGCGTTTTAGAACATTGATCCGTACCGAACCAATCAAGCAGCCATAAGATAATGCAGTTCTAATTTGCAAGTTTGGCATTCATGCAACGTGTTTATTTTAAAAGTTCCATTGATTTGGAACCAAATCATATGTATATCACAAACCTAAATCAGCCAGACATAACCAGAACTGCAGTTTTAAATATGTGATTAGTCAATATCAATTCACAAGTGGTTTCATAAGCATTTCGCATTGTTTCAGTGTTTCTTTTAAACATGAGTTGGAAAGAGCATTGCACCATTATCCTTGAAATCAGTTGACAGGTCTGCTGTCACAGAGATCCAAAACAGGTCTAAAACTTCCAAGGCCATTGTTTCTGATGAACATGCTTCTGAGCAACAGGAACATACAGGAAGTTCAGGAAAACGAAGACAGAGTAGATGGGACCCCCAGCCTGAGAATGAGGGGGAAGCAGATGGTCATATGACTAGTAAAAAGAGGAAAATAAAGTGGGATGGTGATGATTCTCAGATAAAAATGCTGGGCCCAACTCAACTCCCAAACTTTGTGAAGGAGTCTAATTCTGAAGCTATCAATGATCCTGAAGTTCAGAAGTTGAAGACGAGGCTTATAGATATAAATAGGAAATTGCAAGGATCAGAGATCAATGATGACAGGCCAGAGGAATATGACAAGCATATATTTCTTCCCAAGTTGACTGCAATATGACAGACCTCATGCATCTCCAACAATCTTACCCCCTTTTCATTGATATCAAGAACCAATTAGAATCAAAGAGTCCAGCCATGTCTGGTGGAGGATTCCACCTAACTCCACATAAAGCAAAACAATGTTCCCAAATTCCTAAGGAAACTATGCAGGAGATTGATAGGGGGTAGGTATTTGAACCATGGGTATTAAATAGGCAACACAACTAGGGCAACAATATTGAAGCATATTTATAAGTGTTGATCTTCTGATGAATCGCCTAATCAGCTTCTAAATGTATATCACCATATCCTCAGTTTGCAAAGATTTTCCAACAATTATATGGATGTTCACACATTTTCTTCAAAGAATTTGATGTCCAACGGGCACTAGTAGGCTCTTTTCAGAGACCAGTCACCACAAATTCTTGGCAAATATGATGTTTCTAACTGAACAGTTCATTTGTACTTAAAAGTCCCTTGCAATTCCACTTCCACATCTTCAATAATGTGTACTGTAAAGTTCTCTATTCTATGAATGAAACATTTATTTCTACCAAGCACAAAAGCATATTTAAACCAGGAAAAAAATTCCAGTCTAAGCATTTTCAGCAGCAGGAAGTTATTGACAGGACATAAAAGAATGCAAGTAGAATCATCTTCAATAAATGATTTCTTCTCTCCTTTTGCCTTTTTTTGTTTTGGAGCTCTGTTTTATTGGAAGCCTCCTTGTTCTGATGTTCACAATGTAGACTTGGATTTTCTGCTTGATGCCTATTTAATGAAATTTACAGTTGCTTAGCAAAAAATGAAATTTACTCCTACCACTGTCAAGACATATTGGTTCAATGTATCTTACTTTCTTACAATATTGGATTATTATAGTTTGTCATGTGTGAAAAAGCACATCTCCCTTATGTCAAATTTACATGGGCAAAAATAGCCAAAAGGAGACTGATTAGTAACTCACAGTCACGGTAAAAAAAAAAAAAGGAAGGGGAAAAGGATATTATTTTCTTCTAGTGTAACATACTCTTGAGAAGATATCACTGTTTTGACACCAATAATCATGCAAACACACAACCATACTGTCAAAGAAAAAAGAATTACCATCACATCATTACATAAAATAAAAGCAAAGAATACTTGAATCAGTACATGTGTTCTGTGAAGGAAGAGGTGAATTTCTTGAACATTCTTTCAGATGTAAAGTACAACAAGTAAGTTGAAGGAAGTGTTTACATAAAACGTCTATCAAACTTGAATTTCATTTCCAGTTGTTATGACAAGCAAAAAAAGAAGCTCGATGACTGCTGCATGTAGTGTGAGCTTTTCTTCACAACTCTAGCACACAACTCATTCAATAATTCCGAAGTCTACACAATGTGTTAATAATCCTTACAGAAGTATTACATTCTATTCCTGAAAAACTAGTAAGAAACTATTCATATTTTCCATGTCAAATGTATTGATACATAGTTCTAGAACAGTTTTAAGAGGCACAATCATCAAGGCACCCAAAGGGCTACACCACGGCTCATGTATGTTCCAAAGGCATCACACTTCAGCTTGCCTTTCAGTAGGACAGATTTTGATAGTGTTCCATCAGCATGAACAAAGCAATATAATGAACCCCATTTAGGGCTAAGGGCTGACAATTGTCTGTTATGGTGGTGCTCTCTACACATCAGGAAATAGAACTAATCATTTTTCTACCTCACTGCCGCAACTTGCCTATTCTCAAGGATAAGCAGATTTTCTTTTTCGTTGCCTAATTTTGAAGAGTTACTATGCTTGGATAACATAGAGAGGTCCTATTTTAAGGTTCATATTGCAACTTTCAACAGATCAAAGCTGAATAGTTTTTAAAATTATTTACCAGAGGTAGAACACGCAGAAATACAAACAGTTACCAGAGGGTGTTTTAGAACAGATACAAAGCACTCTCTACCAAAGATATCAGTTTTAAAAGATACATGCTGTACTGGAAATCTTGCTATAATAATATTTTATTCAAGTGACAGTGTGTTAGCTATTCCTCGGCCTGCCAAAACCAGTTGATGCACATAATTTTATGAAAGTTGGTACAAGCTGAATCCAACTAATAAGTAAATGCAGAGCAAGCACCAAGTATGCATATTAAAAGAGGGGACATCATCATTATCAAAGGTACCCCACCCAAAAGCACTCACAAATAACCATAGTGAGACAAGCTGAGGACCATTGGGTGTTTACATCTGAGCAGAAACGGCAAGGATTCTTGACAATGCAGAAAACATAATCACAATGAACTAGATAGTAGCCAACAAATCATCCATCAACTTTGAATGCGATGAACAGATGAGCTCATCCAACTTGACAAATTTAATATTTTCATGATGCCAAGCAGTAACCCTTCTCTGGTTAGTTGTCAACTTGACAACTTCTATCTCTGAGTACTATGCATCCGGAGACAATCAACAATTCAACACATGGGAATTGATGGCAGGCTTAGATGATGAAGAATAGCAACAGAAGCTACAATCACCACCGAGTGTAGAGAGACCTAAAGATTTAGACAAGCAGTCTAAGAGTTTACATTGGTCATCAGCATGTGAGTTGTCTACAGAATTCAGCTTCAATGTGATAGAAGAATGAAGGCTGAATGGGGATAATGGGGAAATCAAACGTTGTAGAAGATTTCACACTGCACAGGAATATGATGCAATGGTAGAAAGAAATTTACTATGGAATTCACAGAATAACAAGTCTGAAGGTTTCTGCAACTAATAAACCCCTCTTTCTCAGATTTAAGGCCATTAGTGTTGAACACACCACAGCTAAAGAAATTTACCATAGGCCATCACTTATGTTGTACAAATCAAGAAACTTCATCAAGGAATTGAAACTCAAACTGGGTGATAAAATAACCACACCAGGAAAAAAAGACTGATGGAGCTAGTATTATTATGTCTGTGTATTTGTTATTTTGCAGCAGTACAAAAGTGAAAGTACAACATGAGGGAAAAAACAGAATGGCTAACAAATGCAATAACATCTTTTATTCAAATCTGTACCAATGTATACATGCATATTATGCTAAAGAAATTAATGAAAATAAGACTAAGAGCGCAATATCTGACTGAAAGGTGGCTGAAAACATTCAACATTTGAGTTTCTACTGATATGCTTCTTAATTCAGATTTAACCTCCCAATGCAAAACCCATTTCTTCTCCACAATATGTGACAACCCAAAGAGGTAGACAGATTATGAAGAAATTAAAGGTTTATTGTAGGACTAGTCCAATTCAATGTCTTATTGGACTGTTCAAACTGGACTGGATTGGACTGGTCCAATTCAGAGTCTTATTGGACTGTCCAACCTGTTCAAATTGGTTTTAATTCAGTGTCCAACCCAAACTTAGTCCATTGAAACCCTTACTCTTATCTTCTGTCAATGGACTGGATATTGGTTCAACCCAACCCAGTCCAATATAAATC